TGACGGAAATCACTCTTCATGTTCGGCATCGGCAGCATCAATTTATTCTACTGCTTTGCCATCGCATCAGCAACCTCCGTTTCAACATCACAGAGACACAGGCTCTGATATCGACTATCCTCAATATTCATCCTGGTCCATGGACACTCGCTCCATTCTGTTACATCAACACAGTTCCTGTTCTCCTGTAAATCCAAGTCATTGACCCTGGCACTGTTACGACACTGAGCTCGACACCAAGGTCCATCCTACCAATCGAGATCCATCGACACTCAACCACCATCTTTCGATGTCCATGGACATACCACCTCCATGTTTTCCGACTTATAACTGGCAATACTACGAGGCTCAGCCTCTCGACTCCAGAAGCAACCTTGATGGCTCTGACCATGGATCTTGGCCACAGACTCCATCGGTGTTACTTACCTCTCCAGAGCCGGACATTCTGGATACGGACTCACCATCACCAGCAGAGGATTTTCAGACTTATGCCCAACTTACGATTTGCATGGCTAAATCCCCTGATCTGCAAGTACACCAATCATCAATAGAACCAGCCGATCATATGATCTGATCTCTAAAAATACAACCACTCCTGTGCACATATCAGTGTTATCATTTCTCCTTAATACTGCGCAGAGATCTTGGACAAAACCAGTTTCCCCCATATCATGCCTAAGCAGATTGATAACCTCTATAGAATCCATGACCCAGGAGCCATTTTCCACCAAAAACAACCAGCTCCAAATTCTATATTTGTCGAAGCCTCTCAATCGAGATCTCGACACCGTCAATCTTTCATACCACCAAATAAAGGCAGCCAACGAATAGACTCCATGGGTAGATGGCTTGACTGTTCCGCAGCCTTCAACATGTGAGTCGCTGATTATCAAGGAGCCATGGGAGCTTACCAACACTTCTTCTGTGACATGTTCACCTTTATTGAGTCCCTGCCAGAGGATAAAAAGATACTACCTCAAACCTTCCAACAAGAAGGTCTCTCCGTTGCTAAACAACAGATGCTTTCCACCTGCCACACCGTAGATGCTACAGCCAAGTCCATGGCCACTTCAGTAGCCCTACGCCATTTTTCCTAGCTCAGAACAGCTGGCTTAGCCGAAGATGCTCGGACACGTATCAAAGACCTCCCCTTAGATGGAGCAGGTCTTTTCCATGCTGAAACTGATGATATACTAGAGAACGTACAAAAGAAATGTTCAACAGCCAGACGTTGGGGTGTTTACCCTTCCTACCAGCAACGTCCTCAGCAAAATCAATGGAAATGACCCTATAACTCGTACTAGAGGTTCCAACAAGATCCTCCATGACAAACCTCTTACAATCCATACTTCAAAAACCAAAGATCCAAAACCCAGCAACAGCCTGCCATTAGGTGGAATGACCAGAAACCCAAACACCATGTTTGACATTCCTCTGACTGAGATTGCCACCCATCCCACCAACCCTGCCCTCTGGAAACACTTACCTGCATGGGAAACCATCACCACAGATTCCTGGGTACCCTCCATCATTAAAAAAAAGCTACTGCATCCACTTTTTTGAACTTCCTCCGACAACACACATCATTACTCCTCGTCACAACCCTGCAAGAGGAAATAACGAATTTACTTCTCGAAGATGCCATACAACCTGACTATCAAAACAACACAGTTTTCCTCTCACTCTTCCACTGTCCCCAAGAAAAACAGGGGCCTTTGCCCCTGTCTAGATTTAAGATTATTAAACAATTACATCATCACCACAACATTCCACATGGTTACTCTAGAATCACTTCTTCCCTTACTTCAAAAAAACGACTGGTTCACCGACATAGACTTAAGAGATGCTTGCTTTCATATTGCAATACATCCCTCACACAGAAAATTCCTTCGTTTCCAACTTGGATCACAAGCATACTAATTCCAAAGACTCCCATTGGGCCTTGCAACAGCTCTGAGAGTGTTCACCAAGTGCATGGCGCCGGTAGACGCCTACCTCAGGCTTCAAAACATTCTCATCTTTCCATATATTGACGACTGGTTCATTGTAGCACACTCCTGTCGCAAGGCTCAACGAGACACCAGTTTCACCCTCGCCCTTCTTCGCGATCTCAGTCTAGCTATCAACGAACAAAAATCAACATTAAAATCTACAGTGACTATACATTACATAGGTGTGCTCATAGACTTCACATGAGCTTGCGTGTTCCTCTCCGCAGAAAAGAGACAAAATCTCTTCACCTTATTTTGCGGCTTCACTCCGCATGCCTTGATGCCTGCCTTAATGGTGCAACGAGGTCTAGGCACTATAGCCTCTATGACGTCAGTTATACAGCATGTGCATCTCAAAATGAGATCTCTCCAGTCCTGGTTTCTGGCCCTATTCGATCCCCTAACAGACTCTCCCCACACTCTCCTAAGAATCACTCCAGAATTGGCCTCTCAACTTCAATTGTAGCATTCCCATACCAGCCTTTCTATCAGACGGCCGTTCCAACAACCTTGCCTGCGAACACAAGTCACTACTGACACCAGTTACACCAGCTTGGGGGCTCATTGCAAATCCCTCACAGTCCACGCTAAATGGTCTCACAAAGAAAAGCTGCTCCACATAAATGAGTTGGAGCTACTAGCCACCATAAAGGCCTGCAGGGCTTTCAGAAACGTTCTTGTAGGAAAAATGGTATAGATCGCTACCGACAACACCATGGCAATGTACTATATCCTCAAACAAGGCAACACACACTCCCAGGTATCCTCTACCTAGTGGTTGACCTCTGGAAGTGGTGTCTGCAACATCACTTCTGCCTCACTGCCTTGCACATCGCTGCTGAAGACAATGACCTAGCAGACTCGCTCAGCCGTACAAATGCCCAAGCTCACGAGTGGGAACCAGATTAATCAGTATTTTCCCAACTATGCCGGAAATGGGGCACAACGACTCTCAATCTCTTTGCCTCCCGTCCGAATCGGAAATGGCAACTATATTGCTCCCGAGCAGGAATAGGAAAACATTCCCAGGGAGACGTATTTGTCGGCTGTTGGCCCAAGACTCTTACCTACCTTTTTCCACCGTTCCCTCTCCTCCACAAAGTTGTCGTCCATCTAGAACAAGACAAAACCAATGCCATCATTATAGCTCCTTGGTGGCCAAAACAGACTTTGTTTCCTATTCTCCACAGTCTCTCATCAGACATCCACCATTTCTCCTGCCTGCCACACCTTCTCACACAGAACAACTCCCAAGCTCTACACCCGGACTTACCTGTTCTACACCTGGCAGTGTGGAGGATTCTTCCTCATTAATGAACGTTCTTCATCATGCCAAAAAAACATCCACAAGAAAAGCCTACCTGTACGAATGGAAGAAATTTCAATCCTTTACCAAATCTTCCTCATCATCTTCCAACAATCCATACCTTTCCACTGTTCTCCGCTTCCTCCTACATCAACAACCAGCCCCTAGAGTGGTTCGTCCTCACTCCACCAGGGCAGTGGCTGCCTCTACAGCCTTTCTCCCTGGCGTACCTCTTCCGGATGTCTGCACCTCTGCCACTTGGGCACAGCCCTCCACATGTGTCTCTCATTATAGACTCGACCTCCGGCAGAAGTCTGATGCAGCATTTGGATGTGCTGTTCTAGCCCCTATCTTGGCGTGACACCCTGCCTCTGGGTAAGACAGCTTATTAGTCACCCACAGTGTGATTCACAGAGGCCATGAAGAAGAACGACAGGTTACCCACCTGTAATTGTAGTTCTTTGAGTGGATCTCTGTGATTCACACATCCCACTTGTCTTCCCCTCTGTCACGCCATTGTTTGCTTACTATTAAGCAGCGGTTGACACAACTGAAACGCTTGGTGCCAAGGTATTTATACGGGTGGGGAGGGGCATATTCTAATGTGTTCATTGCTATCACAGAAGCTCTAGAATCTTCTGATGAGGCTCCACACAGATGCGAATCACCCACAGTGTGAATCACAGAGGTCCACTCAAAGATCTACTATTACAGGTGGGTAACCTGTCGTTCTCAGCCACAATCCCTCCAGACCCAAAATATGGCACAATGAATGTTCGCTTTAGGATTAGCATGTCATGGCTGCTTTAAAACTTCACACTAAACTAGAAAAAACTACCATGTGGAGGATTGGGTTGGGATAGTAGAAGAGGGCATGCTATTGTCCAATCCTGGCTACATTAAAATCTTGCATTTCTGCAGTGATTTTTATGGACAACATCTGTGAGGAAATTTAAAGGAACAGCTTCTCACAGTGCACCCAAAAATGACCTATCCAGGAAAGCGATACTTCTCTTGGCCTTTTTATAGCAGTGTAACTCTTTGGCTATTATTCATTGTCTGAGTTCTGTTAGAGGTGGGGAGAAAAGGAGAAAAATGGAGCAAGGAAATATGGAGGATAACACAGAGATGTAGCAACCCTTCTTTCTTTCTTTCTTTCTTTCTTTCTTTCTTTCTTTCTTTCTTTCTTTCTTTCTTTCTTTCTTTCTTTCTTTCTTTCTTTCTTTCTTTCTTTCTTTCTTTCTTTCTTTTTCTTCTTTTTTGCATTCTCCTTTTGTGCTTCTTTGTCACCTCCTATGCTGTTCTGTCAGCAAAATTTAATGGCTCCCTGGGCTGCTGTGGCCCCAATTTTCATTTTTTTTAGGTGCTAGCCAGTTGGCCAATTCCATTCTCCCTGCCCCAATGACCTGTTACGGGTTTTGTGACTGCTAAACATTATTGGTCTCTATTTAGCTGTTTTTGTTCCCCTTCCAAAACTCACATTGCTTTTCATTAAGATTCCCTTATACTCCTGAAAATCTTGACATTTTCCCAAGCTTTACCGGTACTTCTTTCATGTGTGTAGATGTTTTTTCAACTATGTAAGAATACCACTCACGCTGTCCAAATGCTGGGAACAATAAACATGCCTTATATGCACAATGGTGTGGTTTCTTCTCTTCAGTTTCACTGGTATTAATTTTGAAACAAATATTTGCTTTTAGAGAACTAGAGGACGAAAACGAAGCTACCTTCCTGAAGAAGAAAAAGCTGAGGTTGGAATATTATAATTTTATTTTTTGTAATTTAAATTGATTAAAAAAATTGACATCTAGATGAATAGTGTCGCTTTAGCTAAAAGGCTTGATTTTCCCTTCTGCCTTTTCTGTTTTCCTGTATTGATAGGAACGCATTCCTAGAGAAAGAAGACAAAGACAGTCTGTAGTACAAAAGAAGCCCAAGTCTGAGGATTTAAGAACTGAATGTGCCACATGTAAAGGAACTGGAGACAATGAAAATCTAGTCAGGTAGGTTTAATGGTGTGACTTTTTCCTAAGGGGCTTAAAGTTCCATCTTCATCACTTTTGTATCATTGCTATAATGAGTGAACTCTTAAAAAACAGAACTCTTTAAGGAAACGTCTGGTTTAGGGGGAATGTTACTTCTGAACCAGTGATTTGGTCCATTTCTTAACTTTCCACATATATTTGTCCTGTGGATCTAGATGCAGCTAAGCAAAGTAATGTTTTTGTAACAGAGAATTAATTCTTTATTGTCAGGTTGAGTAGGCAGGGTTTTATAAGAGATCATAAGATATACAAGCTAGCTATTGGGGCAGCTTACTGCAGTTATCTGTTGCTGCTTTACTGAAGAATCCTTTGTGTAACAACGTTTCTTCTAAGACTGCTATAAACTTTTCTTCAATATGTCCAAGTGCTTTATCTCAGGGCAGTCCGAGGAATGCCTCTTGATTATCTGTTTTCTTTGATGATCAACAGTAATGATCCAACCTGCTAAGATGTTAGAAGGTGATTCTGTGATTCGGAATTCAAATGAAAAAAACGTGGTGAACAGATTATTAATTGTGTCTGTTTGCTGCAAATGTCCAAATCAGTATTTTATTCTTGGCCTTTTAACTGGTCTATTGTCTGCCCTATGGGGGGGGGGAAATCATCCAAAAAATGTTGGCTTGACTTTTGTTGTCAAATAAAAGTAAACCAGATAAATATTTCAATTTCATTTGAGAAAATTTACATTTATGTTTTCATTTGGTCAATAGAATTAAAAAGAGAATTGCATTTGGTCTTCTTTGTAAAAAAAAAGCAAGCAAACAAAAAGCAACCCAAAACAAAACCACCTTTTAATTTTTTTAGGAACAATAACTGGATTTTTAATAAACTTATATGATGGTCAGAATTTGTTCAGGCCATTAAATGGTATATAAGTGATAAACATAGTCTGCAAAGTGTGTGAATGATGAAAAACAAGCAAGGAATAGGCCGATTAATTTGTTTATTTGATGGTTTATTTAGGTTGGAACCCAAGGCAGCTCAAGAGATAATGTAGTCCCAAATGAGTGAAATGGTATGATAGTGTTTCAGCATCTGAAGAAATTTATGGCAACCTATTCAGTGTGATGCAGTTGTTCACATACACACCCAATGTATTTCTCAATTTGATATGTGAAACTACATACTCACCAGATAAAGCATGGTTTGCTGGTGGCTTTTGGCAGGAGGGTGTGGTTAAGTAACAAGAATGCAGAATTTTATTAAGACATAAAAGTTTAAAGAGCAATATTCAGATTTAATCCTAACTAAACACATGGAAATCAATGGGATTGACGTAAGCATAAAATGGCAAAACCCATTCATTTCAATTCGCCTGCTCTATTTTGGACTAAAATTCAGTTTGGCGTATAGAATTTGTCACAGATGATGTGCAGTTACGCACTGAGAATAAAACACTTCTGAACCATGTTGGCGTTTCCTTCCCTCAAGGGTTTTGAAACTAAAGTGAGGTTAGGTTCAATACTTCTTTCTTTTGTAACATATAGATTAATGGTACAAATGGCTGTCACACTCAGAAGGCAGACATGCCCTTTCTGAACTATGGTGTTCCTCTGAAAAGTAAGGCTTTCTGTGTACATTATGAGGCAGTTTACAGCCATTACCTTAAGAATGCTGTGGTTCTGAAAGTCAGCATTTCTTCTCAGTGTGGTTTAAAAGGAAAGCATCACTAGCAGCCTGCAGACTCCCAAGTAATTGTTATTATATTGTTGGTAATCCATTATTCAGTGTGTGTATTTCGTACTGTTTTTTGGGTGTTCATGAAAAGACAGAGTAAAAAAAAGTGTGGTTTGCATCTTTTACATAGCTATATGCTTATAGGAGCGTGCAGCCTAAAATTGTTCCTATATAGGTGACTCTAAGAATATTGTGGTCTCAGTGTAACTTTGCTGTAACACCTTAGTTTGTAGTGGTATGCTGGTGGAACATGAATGTCTGATTTATTTATTTTATCAATTATCTTATTTATATCCTGCCTTTCTCCCAGTAAATATACTCCCATATGTGACATCTAAAAATAGATTTGTTTAAATCATAATAAATGTGAAGAATGTGCAGAAGCAGATTCTTACTGATCTTGCTCACTTAGCTTTTTGTTTAGATGAAGTCCCCCCCCCCTTTTAAACTGGTCTAAAAACTAATAGCACTTTATAATGGAAAACATTAGACTCATTCCTTACAGCTTTTACTTTGAAGCAACTTTTCATCAGCAGTGAATTTAATGGATACTGATTAGTACTGCAAGAATGCCTGTTGTGAATAATTGTTGTTTTTAAATAGTTTCCTCATTCTAACTAAGTCTGTTATTAAATACACCTCTTTTGTCCACCAGTTAAAATTGTTCCCTGTTCGGTCAGTATAGTGCTTTTGTTTTAAGAATGCCCCCTTTGGGGTTTTGCTTTTGTTCAAGGGTCACAAGAACAGCTTCTGTTCTGTCTCTTGACAGTGCCTAGAAGTGTTATTGATTGTACTGATCTGACTTTTCTACTAAAGGTTGTATTGTATATGATCAATTGAAGCCATTTCCTTGTAGAGACTCTCTAAGCTTGTGAAAACTTCTCAGCATTATTGAAGCTTATCTAGTAAAAGATTCTGGAGGTGGCTTTCATAAAACAAAGAATTCTAATGTTTCCCTTTCCCTCCTTTAAAAGCTTAACTTAACCAGCATCTACCAGCTTGAGATTTGTGAACTTCTCAGATGAGTTCATAGCAGCATATATGTTCATGTAAAATATTAAGTTTAGTAGAGTACTGTGTTATTTCCATTTATTTAGCAATCCAGTTACTAATCAGTTTACGTAGATATCTAGTAATATTTAGTGTTTAAGTACAGCAGAGGGTAAGTGGATCTTAACCGAGACAAGATTTAATTATGGCTGGTGGTTCTTAAAAGCTGGAAGAAAGCAAGCAAATGCTTTTGCTATCTCTGTAGGCTTAAAAAGGTGCTGGATTTTGTAATTTGAGCATAATATCAATGCCTCACTTGTTATAGTCTTCATAAGCAGTTATACAAAGTGAACCCACCAGAAGTTATTATTGATAATTTTCTCACTTTTCTTGCTGAGATTTTCCAGGCTTCAAAGTCTACGCTGCAGCTTAGGAGGAACTAGTTACATGTTATTAATACCTTTAATCAAAACCTAAAGTGTTATTATATTATATTATATTATACTATGATTGCAACTTAATGAACGCTAAATTCACTTTGCTGTGGTATGGTTAATTTAGTTAGCATTATAGTTATGGGCGTGTGGCCTTACTAACCATTGGAGAAATAATATCACATAGTTTAAAATGTTGCTATATACTGCTTCCTGCACTGCTCTATTGTAGGTGTTGAATCAGTGGTCAGATGGATGTTAGGAACATGTATATCACAGGCCAACAACTTCTGTAAGATTTCTTCA